TTTGTGTAACATATGGATACTTGGAATTTAAGAATATTTTCATAGGATAACGTTCTAATAGCCAGAATAAAACCCAAACAAACAAATGTTTAAGGCAGATCAGTAATCAAACTTCAAGCTACTCATTTAAAATGCTAAGTTAAGAATGTCTGAGAATATATTGTATTGCCTTCAAACTATATTTGAATAAATCATGTCTGACCTCTGTGGCAAGCTGTACGAACTCCCCTCGAGGAGGGTCCTTTGCTGCCATGCACTGGGGAGGTTCACAGAGGTGAAGAGGAACTAAATTAATAAGGTCAAATATGTTCCCTTTAAACAAAGAAGTGCACAGCTGTAGTGATGGCCCATATAGCTGGCTTGGTTTAAAATCGATAACCTTGGTTGCCCTATTCTTAACATTGAAAAGTCCGTCAGCAGCATTTCAATGGATAGTGAACGTTCGAAAAGAGAGGTTTTGGTGTGCACACCTAGGGGCTATCCCACCCTTGCTTTCCGTAGGGCAGGCTCTCCGGAGTTGGCAAGGACTGCTGTAAAACACAGACCTCCTAACTTGCCAGCCTGAGTCCCTTCACCCAGGAAAGCATCGCAGGAACGAGGACACACAGGAATCTGTACAACTTTCCTGTGCCAACACTGAGTCAGTCCTTCTACTCTGACTGAATTACTAGGAAGACCTGCTCAAAAACAGTTAGCAGTTTATTTTCACATTACATTTTGTAGTTATAGTTGAAGATGATAGTGTTGTGGGTTTTGTGTAGTCTGAGTGTTTTGGTTTGATTTGCGCTAATGGGTAGCGATGGTAATTAATACTGCAGCTCTGTGTCTGTAAGCTATTAACCGATAAATATGGAGAGCCTTAAAAGAGAAATGCCAAGTACATGTGATGAGAGGCTGATGGATTAGCCGAGGAGAATGGCATGCCAGTTACATGACTGCACAATCGCAGGGTCCTGCATAGGCAGATGGACCTTTGGGACTCCTTTGACAGGATTGGAACATTATCAGTATTTATAATATGCCAATATATCCTGCGAAACATCATAGACGCCAGTTCTAGCTCCTACTTGTAAAAGGAGAATAAATTATTTTATTTCTTCTGTGTGAATGATTCCAGCATCCCTTTGAAGTGCTTTTGTTAAATGTCACAGCTGAGGTGTTCACAAGAGTTACATGACTCCTAGCAAGATTTACAAGAGAGGAGAATATGACTGACTGTATTCCTATTGACCCCATCTGCCCCTGAGCCGTTAGGCCAGAATTTAAGACCATTGCAGGTTGCTTTTATGAGGAAGGAAAATTAACAATAAAGGAGACTTTTTACCTCGGGTGCTCTCCTGCAGATCTCTAAAGAACTTTCCTCAGGTTTTGTGTTCATGAGTGCAGTGAGAACAAATAGCAAGAGGCAGCTTTCCTTGCTTGCAGACTGAGTTTCTTGCCAGGCTGCATTCTGCCAAAAAAGGGTTCGTTCTTGACCGTCCTCCCAGAGCCACAAAGGAGCTGCTTTCTTTGGTGGTTGCCTGGCTTTGGGGGCTTTCCTGGTAATTGTATCACACTTTCCCTTGCTACATAGCCACCAGCCTGTGCAGTGCAATGCTGTCTGTCTCCAGGCTGTTGAAAAGAGAAGCATTTGTTTGTTCCTTTGTTTAGCAGACAGGCAACCAGCCTGAGCAACAGTTACTGGGCTGCACTAGAAAGGACCATCTATTTCCTCTCAGCCTGCCCTGCTCGTGAATTAAAACCAACTAGCTTCAGTCGCCTGCACACCCAGAGACTGAGAGCTCAGGGCATTTTACTGTCTTTCACAGTGTGAAGGTGCTGTGATAATCCTTTGAGTCCTGAATTTGACTGTGCTGTATATTGTACAAGACAAAACAAGGACAGAGCCTCTGCCTCAAAGAACTTGCAACAAAATATATTTGATTTTAGCAAAAGACAAAATCCCTAGGCATGTTTTTTATCTCAAAGTTAAAAGTCAGTTGTCAAGCGTGGAAGTGGTGGAAGATTTGCTTCAGTATCATCTTGCAGTTTTATTTTACTTGCTTCTGCAAGAATAAACATTTCATAAAACTTACTAGTTCTGCAGTTTTCCCAGCTAAGACTAAAGTACACCGAGATGTTGGTTATATTTGTCATGTTTTATTCCTACCATGCATGAATCCAGTTCTCATCAGTAATAGATTCTTCTCCTTTTACCTGCTCTGACCTAAGAAAAACACTTTTTATTGTAGTGAAATATTTCCACTGCATCACTTAGCCACCAATGAAAGGTGCTGCATTTGTTAGCTCATCCAAAGCAAAGACTGATTTTTGCTGTAGTTTGATTAATGAATTTAACATAATTCATCTCAATGCATTGTTGTGCTTAAACTCCTTGTGCTAACTTTTTCAGATTCACTTTCAAATTAATGTGATATGCATCTAAGTACTGATTACACCCATCCTTCATGCTTTGCCAATGCTATTCTTACTTCTTTAACTTACTGCATAGGAAGTGATTAAATTCCTCAAAGGAGTCATGAGCTGACTGCATGGCCGTTACCCTAAGAGACAGGTATATGATTTAATTTTTAAAGCCAGAAGTGATAGTTCACATGGAGGGTACAGGAAAGAAAGAAATGTTCAGGAAATGAAGTAAATGAAGTTTCGGTATGTAGTTCTCAGGCAGTATGCTTTCTATATGTGGATTTGTTTGAGCTACAGATAAAAGTTCCAGCAAAGACTGACTTAGTTCAAATGGAAGGTATGTTTGGTAGATCTGCTCAGAAGGTTACTGAACAGTGCAAACAGCTGGCAAAGGGAAGCAAGGATGCTCTGTAGTCCTCTCCCTTTCATTTGGCGATATGAAATGGTGCAAGCATTAGGTTAAAATGACATGTTTGAGAACATACCGTGGATTTTGTTGCAGAGCTCACCGGCCGTTCTCTGCTCCCCTCCAGCTCCCCAACTGCAGTGCGAGACTGTTCCCGGAGCCCCGGGGACTGGATGGAGAGCTGGAGCACCCCTGGCACTGGCGGGAGCAGGACCAGCCTGTGTGCAACGTGCAGGCACCCCGAGTCGCTCCTGCCGGAGACATCGGGAAACCATGTCTCAAGCTCTCGGGTCGACCCCCTGACCTGCAGCTCCTCCAAGGAGATCCCCACAGGGAGCATGGGGCTGGCCCAGCCCAAACCTGGGATGCAGCAGATTTTATCACACTTGTCCAGAAAAGTACTGTGATGGCTCAGAAAGTTTGCTGACTTTTTAGAGGCCGGGTAGCTGGCTGATGTCAGGGCGGGTGCCACCTGGATGTGTGTGCAGCCTTTGGGAAGTGCCTGTGAGGGAAGGCAGCCCTTGCAGGGATGGGTGATCAATTGAGGGGAGAAGGGAGAAAGGCCAGCTGCCAGCTGGGAGGCTGCATTGAGCACAGGCGAAGGAACAACACAAGAAACATACTGACCCAGACTTGTGAAAAACAGTCCAAGGATGATTTAAGAACCTTAATGAACACTTTTGCCGACAGAAAAAGGAGCAAATACTTCTTCTTCCTTGTGGTTTGTTTTTTTTTTTTTTTTTTACCCTTTTCAAACCACTATACAACACTTTTGGACATACTTTGTAAGAACTGTTCAGATGCTGTGTGGAAAAAAAAATGTGACAGTCTGCTCTGCCCTGTGTGATGAGCAGAAAAAATGAATCACCAAAAGTAAAAATCAGTCCTTCAAGTTAATCCTATCAAAATCCTATATCCTAACCAATCAATAATCCTATATTTTTGTGAGCGTCAATCTGCACTGCAAGTGTTGAAACAAAACTAAATGCACGTGTTCGGGCAATTGTTTTGGGAATGTTTTTCAGCAACAGAAGGTGGTGCACTGGGTGGTTAACAAGCTTTTCTGGTCCAGAGGGGCTGTCCAGACAGATGCAGAACATACAGTCCTCTACCTGCTCTTTAAAGAGACAAGTAAATCCTAAAGACATCTCTTACAGTCCAGGTAGTCAGCTTGGAAAACATCTGCAGAAGTTAAGGGGAAGGATTATTTCCTGTGGCCACAGATGACAACTGTCACTTTGCCATCACTGGTGTGACCTCAGATTTCCGAGTAGCATGAGGTGCTTCCCCAGGAGCAGGGGGTCTCTGCCAGCACAGCAATGCCCTCCCACTCCTCCTCGCCCTCCTGGTGCTGGTGGCATGGAAACCCCTGTGAAGGACCTCATTGCCCTCTCTGAGGAGGCAGATGGACATGAGGCCCTCTCAGAAGAGGAACAGCGTTGTCCTGCACTGGCTGATTCTCTGGTAGTGGGCACGACACGCTTCCCTCCACAGCTGCCCACCACTTCCCAGTGTCTCAAAGCCACAGTCTGTTGTCAAGGTCTAGGTCTGCAACCTCATCTGAGCCACTTCCCGGCTCCATTGGCTCCATTTAGCTCCATGTGTCATTTTGTTATTTGGACAAAATAAAGTAAAGCTGTCTTCTCGCAAAGAGGAGAAGCCAGTATCCCTGGTACCCAGCCAAAAAGATCTCCACTGCCAACAGCACTTGCCCTTCCCAAAGGAGTGAGTTCAGAGCTAGGTGCAGTTTAAAGAGTAACTGACTGTGGCTGAGATGGGAGAGCTGAACAAACCTTAGAAAAGATTGATCAGAAGTAAAAGAAATAACCCAAACTGGAGTTTTAAGTCTTCTTCACAGCCTTTCTTGTACATCTAGATCAAGTTGTTTGTTTCAGTTCTAAAAAGCATAAGATTACAGACTTTTGAAAGGGATTTTTGAGATGTGCTACTTTTTGGAGAGCTGTTATCATACATTTTTTTCTGTTTTGTGAGGGTTGGTTGTTCCATTTGTCTCATTTATAAAAGTTTAAGATCCCTGGCACTGATAGGTGCTGAGCAAACCCAGCAAGAGCTGGAGATATTTTGTTCCACTTTTTGATTTCTTACAGCCTAGCAGTAACATTTGTCTTTACCTACTTAAATGCCAAATGCTGGTCAAGTGTGTGACATTATCTCATTTGTCTAACAGGTAAGCTGCAAAGTGCTGCAATTCTTTCATCAGTACATGTTGGGCTGCAACTACTTCTGGATGCTCTGTGAAGGCATTTATCTTCACACGTTGATTGTGGTGGCAGTGTTTGCTGAAGAGCAGCGTTTGCACTGGTATTACCTCTTGGGCTGGGGTATGTACATTATAATTTGTAGCAAGATGGTTGATTCTTTTGGATGTTTGAATTCTTCTAGCTCTTATACACTTGAATTGTTGTATTTATACCACTAGATTATAGTTTAGGATTGAGTTCTTGGGTCCTAAATTTGAGTGCATTTATTTGGATGGGCCTAGAGACTTAGAAAAATTGGCAGGAGTCAGTATCCATTATTTGCTGCATCTTGGGATTTGATGAAAGAAATGCTTAAGTTTTGTTAAGCAAAACTTTGGGAGAGAAATATATTTCTATCCAAACATATATCTTTTCTGAAGAAAAGTTGCCTATTTTTGTCACTTTATATGCAAAAATGTTAATCTGTGACAGTACCTATAAAAGTATTTTTTTTTCTGGAATGAATAAGAGGAAAAATCAGTATCTGTGTCTCCCAAAGTGAAAAAACACAGCATGCAGAAAGAAGAACTAGAATTTCTCTGGAAGTGAATCCAGTATCAGATATATTTTGGCAGATGTTTTAAAGGAGAAAATTCAATTTTACCTGCACAGGAGTAGATAATGGCTCTGCTGTGGGGGCTGATTTTGTCCCACAACAGTGACCTCTAAAGCATTTCAGAGAAAGAGACAGATGTCAATAAGCAAATCTCAATGATATTCTGTGAGAGAGGTTACAAACCTGTACACTATGGATGCAAACTGTGCAGTCGCATGCGTATTGCCCAGGGAACCATAACTAGGTCTGCTCCTTCATATCCAAATATGCAAATCACTTCTGTTTTCACTAAGGGATGCCTTGCCTTTTAATTAGTAGCAACAGCAGATATTTATCCTTTGGACTGTCTGGTCCGATAAAAGGCCATATAAATACAACCAAAATATTACAGTGGAGTGCAGTCTTTTTCACATTTAAATCACTATTGTAAATGCAGTCCACATCAGTGTTGATGGAAAATCATTATCAAGAGCTTTTTCCCAGTTTGGGAACCATGAATCTCTGGCCTCATTCCAGTTTCTGGTTAGCCAGTTGCCATATCTTAAAACCACTGGTGCAGCTAAGCAGCAAATGATGAACGTTTATCCATCGTGCCACTGCAGTTAGGTATGTTCACTTGTATTCATCTCTTGCAATCCCAGTCTGAAGCAGACAGAATTTACTTTATATTTTCCATCCTCTTTGGAGATGTTATACTTGTTCAACATTATTTCATTTACAGCAGGAAAATAAAAAATAGCCCTGCTGCTTAAAGAGTGAAAAACTAGGAATTAATTAGGTCAGAGAAAAATGACTCAGTTCTCAATGTTATGAAGAACTTTAAAACTCTGACTTCAGCCACTAGTTAGGCATCCAGTATCAGGTCCTAAATAGGTAGTAACAGCAAAGTGGAAAGTTGTTCTTCCCCTATTTGGATTTTCATTTAAGAGCCTGGTAACTTACTTTCTTCTTATGGTGTAAGACTTAGTGCTCTCTGGATACCTACATTAGATAACTAGACAATTAACATGATTTTCTAGTTTATATGGATTGTAGTGCTACAAAACAATTTCCAGGCATGTAAGAACTCATCTTCTTTTTTTTTTTTTTTTAATGAGAATGCCATCATGCACTCTTTTTTCTTATGACAAAGGCATCTTTTCTTAAAAGAAAGGGACCTGTTGTGCTCTTGGAATTAAAAGTATGTGGGACATCATCAGCTCTTAAATGAAGACAGCCTTCCTGAAGAACCCTAAATTGAGTCAAGGTTTCTGGACTTTGTCAGTCCAAATAACTGAGTCCTCTTGGAGCAAGCAATTGTGCTATCACAAAATTTTCACAATTCAGAATACTTTAACATACAAAGTCTGATAGGACTTTGCCTTTGAAATGGCAGCCCTATGTGAAGAGTGATTTTAAGCGTTTCCTTCCAGATAAAGCTTTTTCCATTTCATGTCTTGCAGCATAAGCCTTCCCAAAATAGTGTCATTCCATATCCAATTATGCAAGAGGAAGACGGTCATAAACATTTTTTTTTCCAGGTGACATTCAATTTAGGCAATGCAATTTAGTGCAACTGGGACAGCTAACCTGCAGTGAAAGCTTATGAGCTAGCTGTAGTAGTGCTGAGAACGGCACTAGCATCATGGTGGGTAATTCAGTGAAGTTATCAGATAAGACACTCATCAGTATCTGCACCACTGACTAAAAAATAAATAGAGTGGTGGCTGTGGTAGTAGGATGATGATATCTTGAGAAGGAAAAGGTTAATAAAAATGAACACAACTCTTGACTATGAAGTCTGCAGCCTTTTTAATGAAAGTAAATGAATACTTCCACAAAGAAAGTAATCATTAGCACCTCCTAAGTAAGGTAGAAATCATTAATAACAAAATGATCTAATTAGGACTATTTGGCCACTCCTTAAGTTTGCATAAATCAGTGTAATTCCACTGATTCTAGAAGCAGTGGTCACACAGTCTAAACATCCAGCTGTGTTAATCAATGGAGAGAGATACATTTCTCCAAAGGGCAATGCAGAGCAATCAGAGCAGGTTGTGCTCTGAATTACAGTTCAAAAGATGAAGGTAAATGCACAATACGAGATGAAATTACTCATTATTCATTGTTATAACTAATTCCTATACAAGAAGATCTAGATTATTTTATTTGGAAACATTACAAATAACATTTGTAAAATAGCTTTATAAGAAAAGTAAAAATCTGAGCAAATACAAAACACTTCTACAAACTACTTGAGATGTTTGAATGGAATCTGACACGGACAGATATTTTTCAAGGCTGTTGCCTTCAAATGACCCCTTCTCTGGGAACTGCTGCTGGGGATGTAATTTCTTATTTGTTATTGTTTCACTGGGTCAGGAAATCACCCTTATGCAGGGCAAGAAAACAGTATCAAATGTGTGCATCCAGCTACAGTCCACTCTGGCAGCTTCAGGCAGCTTCATCCACATAAAAGTGAAAAGGGAATCATTTATTTGGACAGTGCTGAAAGAGACTGCCTTCCAAATTCAACTGGAAAGACAGTTAAGCATAATTACCAGTTTGTGCCATAAAGGACCTGGCGTGACCTAAAGGGATATGTCATGCCTTTTCCCGGCAATGGCTGGGGTAAGACCATTTTCACATTACTTGGTGCTCACCGCGTGTTTGTGGGACCCCTGGAGTGATACATGTTGTACCACCAAGACCCAACAGATCTAGGTGCTCCACTTCTCCATAACTCTCTGACTTTTGCCCCATTACAAGAGAAGAGCAACATCTAGCCCTAGAAAAACCCATCCAACCTGCAGCTGGAAACCTGAGCCGTAGACAGTCATGAGCTTCTTACCCTGTAACTGACTAATGAAAACTTTCCGTCGCGTTCTGAAGATTTGCTCCTGAGTTTGCTGAGCCAAATATTCTAGGCTAATGCGTTTAGCAGAAGAAAAAAGGTCCCTTGGCATCAAGTGGAGCACTCTACTCGCGATACTCCAGGCCAGAGCTTTTGGATAAAGAATTTTTGGTATTACAGAAAGGCCTCTTAAAAATTGCACTTCAATCTGTCTGTCAACAAAACTGGCCCAGACTTGCTTCATTTCCAAATCAAAAGGATTTTCTCAAGCTGTCAGTCCCATAAGCTCACCCTGAGGTTGGAAGCTCCTTTCTTTCTGTTCTGAGCTTTTTATTGTTCTACGGTGCACCATCACCCAAAATGGCATTCTGCAGCCAGAGGCCAAGTAATCATTTTCTAACATTATATTATAAGGAGAAGGCAATCCAGTTTGTTCTCCCACAGCTGCGTTGTGCTCGCAAGGGAAACTGCAGTAAGAACATTTTTGGCAGTAGAGTAAGTAGCTGTTGCTTAAAGATACCAGGAGACATCGGAGTGTCCTATTTACATACTTTTTTGACCTTATTCTCACTCCAGCATTGGCTGGCCTGTGCTCTGAGGTAAGACTTCCACAGAATTTTGCTAAGGATTCTCTGTCTCTTCTAAAAGTGTTTATGAAATCACTAACACCCGAAGAAACAAGGAACCACATTCTTTGCTCTGTGACTAATCACGGTATCAGCAGGACGTTTTCACACAGTTTTATTTATAATTATAAAATGTCCAAAGTTCAGAAGAAACATCCATGGTTTATAGGGAACAGGCAGCAGTAACACCAAAAGTGTCCACAAAGCTCTTTGCACAGGACAGACAAAGCAGAAGATCATCTCCCCACTGGCCAGCTGTCTGTATGTGCAAGGTTATACAAACTGGGGTCAGTATTATAGTGCAGACTCCCCAGTTCCAGGTTTCTAGCCTATTGGAGAGGGACACAACATACCAGCAAGCTGAAGGAAGGTGGACAGGAGCAGACCAGATTGTCACTCTTAATGGCAGACTGGAAATAAGAAACTGAGGCTTCCAGTGTGTTAAGCATGACATGTTCCCAAGCCTTTGGCCCGGTGAAAATTTCCTCCTGTCAGCAACCTGTCAGAGCAGTGGTCTTCCCTAAGGCTTCACCGATAAGTCAGGAGATGTGGATTTATCATATCCACAGCTCCACTCCTTGCTGAGATAAAGCTGCATGAGGTGGGTTTAGCTGCACAAAGGCTGGGAGCCTGCGGAAGATATCACAAATCCCCATCCCCCAAAAAACCTCCTGGCTCCAAAGTTTTTCTCTTGCCGTAGACTCCAAAAGAGCAACTCCTTGCTCTGTTGCTTATTGCTCCGTAACCTGGCATGCGAGTTAATGTGCCTCTCTCTTGCTCAGTAGTCATTTGCATGGTTTTAACAAGTGTCCCAGATCATTCCCGCTGAGAACTGAACAATCCCTGTGTCCTTCCCACACTGCCTGCTCACACCCTTGCCTGCACAAGGTGCAGCAGCACAGGGGAGCCAAGCAGCAGCTTTGTGCCGCCCTGGAGAGCATGGTCCGTGGGCTTTGCTTCTCCTTTTGGCCTGCCTTGAATGTTACTCCCTTTTGCGTCTCACCATCGAGGTAATGCTAGGGCCCTGAGTGCGATGGGATTGCAGTTCTTTCCTGAAAGCTGTGGCTTCACATACGGGTGTTTTGTGGACAAGAGACTTAGTGTGTGAGATACATGGAATTCAAGCTAAAAAAATACTGAGACTGATCTATAACTTTAATCATTTCAGGGTTCCCTTTAGTGCCAGCATCTATTCATGCTGTTGCAAGAGCCAGATACTTCAATGACAAGTGAGTAGCATATCTGTTTTTTGAAGGAACTTAGCATTATTTAGCTGTGTAACACATTTTATTTGAGTTAATAATAAATTTTAATGGTATATTTCCCCTCCAGCTGCTGGATGAGTGTTGACACACACTTGCTGTATATTGTTCATGGACCTGTAATGGCAGCTTTATTGGTAAGCATATTATTTGCTATCAAAAGTTTAACAATTATTTTAGAAATGCTGCTAACCCATGCAAAACAGAAGTTTCTGTACTTTAAGTGTTTTGGTCAAAACTCAGAAGTAGCTAGAGGTTTTCTGTACTCAATGTGACAAGGACAGCTTCTCAATACTTTTCCGAAACAAGTCCTGTAAAGGGACCTCCCAGTGAAGAATCAGATTTTGAGGCAAACAGAATCATTGACTGCTTTTGAAAATCAGGGTGATCACTGTCTCCCAGCGTAACTTATTTGTGACAAATGTACTGCATTTATGTGACATCAATGAGGCATTTAGCTGTGTCTTAGCTGAGGTGAGCTGAGGGCAGGCTGGTTGCTCAGCTTGAGTTTTACTGGTTGCTGAACTGGTCTGGTCCAAAAGTAGGGAGCTAATCTAGTCCAGGGAAGGGACTGGACTGGTCTGTCTGAGTAGGAGGACAAGATTTGAAGTGCAGCTTGGCAATGTGTATACATATAGCACTTTGTATGCCAGTGGTGCTGTTTGGTATGGTAACCCTGACCTTCCTCAAAGGTGCAGAAAGGATTCTATTCAACCCAAGCCCCAAGCTTACCTCAGTGTGTCACCCAGATGCACTTTCAGCTTTTGAGCTGCCTCTTGCTTGCAAACATCTGCATGGACATACCTGCAGTAATTACCTCAGAGATCAAACAGTAGGGCAGTGAATACTGGGAACACCTTTGAATAAAGAAGCAACTTTCTGTTTAATAGTTGAAAAACCTGAAAATCTTTCTACCATTTCTTGAGAAGCAGTCTTGCACATCAGCAATGTGAAGAAGCCCATTCTTCCCTGCCATGTAGATAGTCCGCTGTTCCCATAGAATCACATCTGTTGTGGGTTTACTAGTTCAATCTCGATTGCTTCTGCTGTTGTAATGCCAACTAATTTCTAGGAGAGGCCATTCAACCTTTATTTTTATTACCATGCTCCAAGTCTGTACATCTTGGACATAAAGAAAACAGCAGAGACTGTTTTTTATGGAAGAGCAATCTTTAACTGCTTTCAGAATAAGACATTATAATTTCTGGCTTGTGCTTATGCCATTTCCAGCCTTTTTTTTCTTGTGAAGGTGTCAATGACGACAGAATATCCTTGCATGATTTACTACAAAAATCTCATAGTGACAGACTGACTCAGAAGAGCTGAGGATTTTTACCTTTGTAAAGTCTTTTTTGCACTTTTCACAGTTACTTCCAGAAATTCTAAAAGTAAAGGTTAAGCAGAGTGAGTGAAGTCAGAATAGGATGGAGAATAAGGTTTAGATTTAATGCTGAATGGGACCTCAGAAGTCATTTATTATTCCTTTTTTCCAGTAGAGCACATATGTGAAACAGTTGAAAGGTCTCTCTGTAGTTAAGAAGTGATGAAATACTTTACCAAAGCTTACTGATTCATGTTTTATTGTTCTAAAAGGTTCAACTGAAATTTCTCACTTATATATGGAATTTGGGCTATTAAAATACCTATGTAAGTTATGCAACTTACATACTTATGTTAAAAAATCATCTGAAAAAAAAGCCTATTCAAATTTTGAAGCATAGGTGCCTGATATTGCTGTAACAGAGTGGAAAAGAGTGATCTGGGTACACTGGAGAGAGAGAAGGTCTGTGATACCTAGCAGGTCCAGAGGGTACCCACTGGGCTCATTATCAGCCTGGGTCTGCCCTCCCTCTTCCTCCACATGCTCTCACCGCATCCCGCAAGGAGCTCTCTGTGAAGCCAGGGCGAAGAGCACCTACAGCTGGGAGCGGATTTCCAGAAATGACTGAGGAGATGAGATGCTGAGCTAGTTGGCGTTGCTGACCATAAGGGTCAGGGACAAAACTTTCTCAAGTGTCTGGCATTTCTGCCCTGAGCCAGCAAGTGTTAACTTTTACCTGTGGGTAGTGTACCATGGGGTCCATGCAGCCTGGTGGAGGCAAGGAGTAGCCTAGGTTTTTCTCAGGAGCAGCCTTGTCCCTCTGCTCAGACAGAAGCCTGGAGTATTGCTCCATGTAAGCTGGAGCATATTCCTCAGAGAAGTTGTGTGTCCCCGTAGGTCCCTTACACCCAAGGACACACTGGGGTTTGTCTCACCTGGCTGCAGACATCTTCAGTGCCGACTGAAGCAAGATACCTCGGTGACCTTCAGACTCAGAAGAGAGACATGGTTACTCCTAGGGGACAATTCTTCCATCCCATTTAAACTTTAGACGTAAAAGTGAGATTAATTCTTCCCTGGAAATCCTAAATTTGCACACATCAGTGTCAAAACAGCCAGTGCTTCCTAGAACTGATCCCTGCCTACCTGAAACATCCATGCAGGCTTCCTAAGGGAAGCATGTAGAGCAGCTTAATATCTCTTTTCTGAAGACATTTAAGGTACTTTCCAAGGCCTGACTCCCAAGGAGCTGCCAATTATGAGCTACGATAAAGCTAGAAAGTTACATTTTACTGCCATTTATGTGCTCTGTATTTTTATTTTGAATGTCTTTTTAATTTGAATGCTTTCACCTATAATGGCTTTGCTTTTGCAGGTCAATTTTTTCTTTTTGCTTAACATTGTGCGAGTTTTGGTGACAAAGCTAAGAGATACCCACCGTGCTGAGTCCAACATGTATATGAAAGCTGTCAGAGCCACTTTAATCCTGGTGCCCTTATTAGGAATTCAGTTTGTTATTATTCCCTGGAGACCAGAAAACCGACTTGCTGGAGAAATATACGATTACATCATGCATATATTAATGCATTACCAGGTATGTTATATAATAGCAGCTTCAGCTTAGGTGAGGTGCTTGCTGTTAAGTTAATTTACCCAAAGATGCTGTTGCCAGTTGTTTTGCCCTGAAACTGAGCATGACCATGGTTTTGCAGTTCTTTTCCAGCCACTTTCACATTATTGGATTATCTGCCTTTGCATGAGTAGCACCACTGCATAAAGAAAAACACAAGATAGGGGAAACAATGAAAAATGTAGCAAAAATTATCAGATGGCACTATTTCTAAACTAAGGAGAGAAAACTGAGATCACAGAGGGCTTTTATGTTCCAACACAATTTCTGTTCTGTTGCTCAAATTGACTGAAACTGGTGCTGTGAGGTTAATATTAAAATTAGCAAACTGTCGTACAGAGGGAATACCAACACACAGAAGAAAAGACTGAAACAATGAAGCTTCATTCAGGAGTCAAAATTCCATTATTAGGCAGTTTAAATTAAAATATGACTGACATTTTGGTTTCATAAATGCTTTGAAAATACAGCATCATTCAGTAAGTCTGCTTCGTTTTCTTTTAAAAACAAAGCAAAAAAACCCTAAATGACTTGGTTATCGGGTTTACTGACTGTAATATATCCAGTTCTATATTAACTAGGAAAGGCAGACTTCTAATTCATTTGTGAATAGTGGTCAACATGGTTGAGTACAGTGACATAATTCTTGTTTCCTTTCATACAGAAGCTAAATGCAGAAATTATTTTAATGTTGTAGTAAGAAAACAGCTTGAAAAAAAATTAGTGCTTTTTTCTTACATGAAGTGATAAATAATGCTACCAAAATCTATGCATCCTGTCATCTTAGATTATATATTCTGCTTATCACCCTTATCCCTTCAAAACTGTGGATGTGCATGCTACTGCATGCATAGAATAACTGAAGTTATAGGTCTATTTTTGCAGCGTATGCCATCTTATATTACAGTTCTGCTTAAAAAGAATGAAGTCTGTTTCTTCTATTGTTACTTGTACTGTCACTTCTTCAGTCTCAAGGGCTATAAAGGAATATCACCAAATAAGTTTTCTGGTGACAAGTTGCTTACAGTTTTAGCAAGTTAGGATAAGACAGAGTGTGACAATAATCATTTTACTCTTAAAACTTCTTTCAAATCCTGTGAGGTTTTCAGAGAATTACAAAAAGAATGTTAAATGTCTTAATTAACAATCCTGATTATGATCATTATAAAATAGAAAGTCACCAAACCGAGGTTAAAATGGAACCAGAAAGAAAACCAAAGTATCATGAAACTGTTGTACCGATGGATGGGGTTAGGTGAGGGAGAGATCCACGGAGGCAAAGTTTCATCTCAGATGGGTTCCTTCTGCCCTTGTCCCAGTCATCAGGAATGGGTATCTCTCCATGGCGTGTTGACCCCCACACCCTCTGCCAATATATTTTGTTCCATATCAGCAGCAGGGACAGTGCTGGGGACACAGGCATGGGCACATGGTGGGGGCTGCCCGTGCCCCACTGCCGCTGTGCCCAGAGAGGCTGCTGGGCATGCCGAGGGGTGACAGCCCACCGAGGGCTGTCCCTGAGCCAGGGCAGCAGTGCAGACCTCACAGAAGTGCTCTTCACACCTCTGCAATATAATCTCAGTGTGCTTCCCGCCAGCAAGTAAAATTTGGCCTTTTGGGAGGGGTATGCAGTTGTCCTGCTAACTGCAGCCAACTGTGACTCTCCAGTTTCTACTTAGAGCAGGTTTTTAATTGTATTCTAAAATAAACTTTCTTAATTCTTTCTCAAACATTTCTTGTATGCATATTTAAGATAGCCAGCTATATAATCACTCCTCTGGTACTCATTTTCTTCTAGGATTGATTGTGTAATTAGCAGATTTTGTATTAGCTTGTGTAACAGCTATATTTCCCCACTAGCTATTGCACTCTCATAAACAGCTGCGTAGCCTACCTCTCCGTAAACTAGCAGTGGTCTATTAGTTTTTGCATCCCATGGCATGTCAATCTTATACAAGCAGCCAGCATGGGTACAATTTTTTTTTTTTTTTTGGTGGAAAATATAATACATTCTCCATTTCTGCGCTGGTTAAATGATTAGTTTTTTATGCCTTTACTAGAACAGAGAGACAGTTTTTCAACAGCACATCACTGCTTTAAGTGAGCACGGTGGTTTGATGTATTAGTTACATCATCCACGTACACAGAAATGGTGCAGACAAGCACTACAGTCTGTTGTAAAAATCAGAGGATTGATGATGATGATTGAGAAAGAATTTGTTCTGCAAGAAGCTGTGTAAAAAAGAAACTGGTATTTCTTTCAGAGCATAGTTTTCCCAGTTAAAAAACAACATGTGCTAGGTTTCCTCTGCTGAAGTCACTTTTGAATAACAGAAGCCGGTCTGGTTTTGAATTGTCCTGCTCTTTTTGCAAAACTATCATCAATGCCATTTTAAGCAGAAGTTTTTTTTTGAACATGACTATATGAGCAATTCACAAACACTGTATGTCTACCTCCCCTGTGTCAACTTGTGTCTGTTTCACCACATAGACCAGACTCTTCTTAACAGATCTGTAGAGTAGATGTGTAAATGATAAAAAAATTGAAGACTGGCTTTTGTGCTGCAAATATGAATGCTTGTACTTTTCCAGCCCAGCTAGCCTCCCATGGATCCTGTGAAAGCAGAGATTAGTATCTCCCCTCACCATCATCAATATCAGCTCTTCAGTCTCCAGACTGTACTGAAATGAAGATTGCACCAGGCAAAAGAAAGATATTTCAGCACTTAAGTGGAATAACTTATGCACAGAGTGGTATGCTGTAGGTGCATTGCTGAACATGCAGTTAGCTTATTAAACAGAGCTCCTAAAGTAGGCATCACAAAGTGAACATTTGCTTTCCAGAAGAGCCAGTGAGTTGCAGATTTTGCCTAGAGGGCCTGACTTTCAAAAGCCTGTTAGATGATGCTGAAAGCATGTGAAAGATGCAGACTTCATCAGGGTGTAAAGCATTACTGTACAAGATGCACTGGCTCCTTGCACACATCTGGCATGAAAACACGTTTGTCGCTTAAAAGCCTGAAAAGTCCAATCATGCTGCTCAGCAAAGATGAAATGGTACACCTGAGCAAAGAGGGTGCCTCCTGCGAAGCAGCGGAGCAGCAACAGCCCTGTGTCCTGTCTGTAACTGCACTCAGGTCTCTGTGCTGAGAGAAGGCAGGAGAGATGCGCCTTCTGCCTCGCACCATGGCAGGACTGTCTGCATCTCCGCTGGCCCTGGGGCTGCCACTGCTGCTTCCCCCACCCCAGGAACCACTGAGCATCTTTTGAGGGGTCCCAGACTGCAAAGAGATCGGGGTGCTGAGCTGCTGTTGGAGGGTCTGCTACCAGCAATCATTATCCCAGCTTCTGATCTCTGACCTTGGTCCATAGCAGAGGCCTCACAAGAAAAAAGGAGAAGTAGAAAAATGCAATAACCACATGATACATCAGTTTATCCCACATATAGACCCCCCCCACCAGATGCTCTCAAACACGCCCAGAGATTAACACACTCCTGCTTGCAACCTCCTTCCACCAACTGTCCCCTCTCATCAAATTCTCTCTCCAGCATCTTGTAGCTGAGTTTGTAGAGGCTGTCACGTTACCTAACATGGCACTGTTGCTGTGCCCAGGAAGATTTAACCATGGAGGTCTGCTTGGTGCAGTAGAGAACTAGCCCCTGAATCAGCAGCAATACACAAGCACTTAAACTTACTCGTCTTCTCAATACCTGGCCCTAAATGTGCAAGTCTGTCTCTAGTGAGAAATTAAAATGCTATTCAGCATAAGGGCCCTGTTTTTTATTGGCAAATGCGAAGTTTTTTTCTATTAAATGGAGAACCATCAAAGTTTTCTTTCTCCAGAAGTAAGATTACTTCTGTGTCACACGACAGCTTCCAAGCAGCACCCTCAGGAACACAGCACCCGCTCTGCCAGGCAAGAGGATCCAGCTCATAGGGGCCTCATTTGTGTAAAGAGTATTTTGTGTCTTTTAGGGATGGGTTTGGGCCACATATATATCCACCCTGCCTCCAAGTTTTAAATTTAACTCTCTATGCAGCTTCATGTGGAATAAAATTAACCCATTTAAAAGTAGCCTCTTAAAAATAGTGAGATATTTAAATGCATTTTAAAAGATATTAATTCCATCTGTTTCTCCATTTAAAGGGCAATAAATACGCTCTGTGATACCAGAACAGACAGAAATGTTTTCTCCTTCTGTGCAAAGTTAAGGTCATAGAACTCCTTTTGACAACATAAGTGGGTTTTTTTATTTACTGTTCTTTTTTTCTTTGCATTTTTAGTAATTTCGAAATTTTCTAATATTTAAAGTTGGGGAAAATTTTTTTTGAAAGCTGGATATTATGAAGTGCCATTTATGTATGAAAAATTCATGTACAAAATCATAAAATCATAGAATCGTCATGGTTGGAAGAGACCTCAAAGATCATCAAGTCCAACCTTCTACTCAACGCCACCATGCCCATTAAACCATGTCTCGAAATGCCACATCTAAACATTTTTTGAACACCTCCAGAGATGGGGACTCCACCACCTCCCTGGGGAGCCCATTCCAATGCTTAACGACTCTTACAGTGAAGACGTTCTTCCTAATGTCCAGCCTGAACCTCCCCTGGTGCAACTTGAGACCGTTTCCTCTTGTCCTATCGCTAGTTACCGGGGAGAAGAGACCAACCCCCACCTCGCTACAACCTCCTTTCAGGTTGTTGTAGAGAGCGATCAGGTCTCCCCTCAGCCTCCCCTTCTCCAGACTAAACAACCCCAGCTCCTGCAACCGCTCCCCATTAGACTTTTTCTCCAGACCCTTCAGCAGCT